CCTTCCTCTTTCCTTCTTTTTCTTTCTTCCTTCTCTCATCCTTATTCTATTTTCCTTCCTCTAAATGTTCGAATAGAAGAGGAAACACCTCTGGACCCTCACAGCAAGAGAGCATCCGGTTGATAGATATCTTGTAACCCAGTCGACCCCACCTCAATCTGTACATTGCTCGGTCTGAACCGACCCTGAGACAAATCATGCGTGCCATCTTTCCGGGTTGAGTTTGTTGCTATTTTGATGAGGAACCATTGGCCCGAAATGACGAACTTCAGCAGGGCTCAGAACTCGGTATATTGATCATGATAGAATCCAATATTTTAATAATTTCAAGTTAAAGTGTTGAGGGAAGTAGTGAAGTGGTAAGTGGTGAGCCTTACTTTGCTCGCTGTGCATGGAATTGATCTAGGTTTGGCTCCCGCGCAGGACGTTCACTCTTTTCATCCTTCTCAGACCAGTAAGTTGGTACCAGACTCTTCTGAGAAGGTACAACACAGTTCCGTACATCAGCCGGCCATTGCAAAGTACTGTGTAGACCATATCGCTTTCAAAGTGGTACTGTCGTTAGGTCTGACGACAATCTCACCGTCTGAGGCTACAGTCTCTCTGTGAGTCGGCTCGTAACTCGACACGGGGCTTTTTGAAGGAGCGGTGCGCGATAGTGAGAGGTGGTAGTGGCGTTGAACTGTCGAGTAGAAGTGGCCACGAACTCCTCTGTGGAGGAAAAATGCCAAAATACACGTCGGAAACGCATCTAATAGGATCGCTCTAGCCCTCAAACATTTCTAGGAGTAGAAGGCGAAAAAGACCGCGTGCTAAGGTGAATCCATTCAGCTGATTGCTTATAATGAACCCTACGGTCCCACAGCGACAGTGGGACTTCCGTTTCATGCTTCTCTTCCGATGAGGTCATTTTTCGCTGGAAAGTGGACTTCGAAGGCGGAGTCTGGAGGCTGGAAAGTGAACTTTGAAGGCGGAGTTTGGAAAGAGGGAGGTGACACTGAAGCAACTTCGCGCCTTAGCGTCTTTACAGCTATCCATAAAAGAATGGAACAAAATTTCCCATTGCGAACACACTACCATTCCCAGAAAATCTTTCTTTTCATAAATTATAGAGGACCGTTCCTTTGAGTTGATCCTTGTTAGGTAAGGCTCTTGTTTATTTCAGCGTTTCAGTCAAGAAGTAACCCCACATGCTCTCTTATAGTGGATGCACAAAAAGGGCACATCATTAGTTGGGGATTTTAACCGAGTCCGTACGA